AAAAATGTTTTCAAAAATCTGAATCCCAAAAATTAACTATTTTTTACCATAAATCTAAATCTAAATATGCGTTTCTACATAAACTAGTTACTCTGACGGCTGTTGATAAAGAAAAACTGCTGAAATAAAAAACATTGAAACCTTTTGGAAACGAACCAAGGGAAGGTAGCTGTGGCTGACCTGATGTGTCGTCGCTGCTACGATCTTTGCTGGGACTCAGAGTGTCCGACATGTCTGACTCTTTGGCATCCATCTGATTCGCTGTTCAAACACAAAAAGAAAACGCTTCACATAAATACTGAAATCTGTACAAAGTTCACTTAAGGATTTAGTTTTTACAGTGCATTTATGTTTTTGAGTCTGACGGTTTGTTGACGTGACTCAACGGTTAAATCTGAACTTTAACTCATTCGCTGCCAGCTGTTTCCTGATCGGTAAAGCCCTTCGCTGCCAGCGTTTCTCACCGTTTTTACGTTTTTTTAAGAGTCACAGAACGTTGCGCGCTAGGATGATGTCGACGCCAAAACAACCAAAACAAAGCGGAGACTCACCTCTTACATCAGGAAGAATCCGCGCGTCTCGAGCTTTATCCATTCTTTCATAATCTGTTGTTGAGTTGGGATAGGCAGAAGCTTTTCCGGTTCGTGCCTCACTTTTTTTACAGCAGCGGACCAAAACGATCTCCTAACACATGGATTTTCTGCTTCCTGGTCACGTGACGTGTGACGTATGCGGATGAAGATCGGCTTTAGAGCTAGGCCGTTTGTTCTCACGGTGCGGGGGCTCGTTTCGACGCCCACACAGTATTAAAATGTAAATGACGACTGGCAGTGAATGAGTTAACTTTTGTTTATTTCCTGTTTAATGTATGAGAAGTTTTAGGTGCTGGTTTTAGTTAGGAGAACTTTTGAAGGAGAATTTTGTAGATTTTCCATCACCTCAGGTCAATGATGATTTAAACCGTCAATGTTAAAAGAATACTATGGATTTGTTCCTATTTTTAAATAATTTTCATGAACCATTATGTGCTAAAATGACTCTTACAGGTTTAATGAAATCTCGCTCAGACCCTTTCTGTGGCCAGAATGTTGCACTTGCAACTTCGGGCTGGTGGCTGCCACCTGTTGGGCTTGATACATTTAGCTGACATGCCTGGTGCTGCAGTCGGCTTCCAGCATGTTTCCTGCATATTTTAGATCATGAACACAGCTGATATGTTTGATTTAGTGATGATTCATTCCTCTAAAACAGGGGTGTCAAACATACGGCCCACAAACAGTTTAAGTCCGGCCCGCGAGATGGTTGTATAAATTTTATTTTCATACTTTACAATGTAGACTGAAAATAAACTAATTTTTCAATAAAAAGCCTGCTGTTCCCAATACGTTCACTAGATGGTGTAATAGGCATTGTGTTAAGCAAGCAAGCCGTTTATCCTCAGCCAGAGCAAGTACATCAACCAAGTGCAACGGGTGTTCTGACGAGCTACTTTGTTTTGCCCCCGATATCTAATCCGGTGTCTACATTTTGTGCTTCAGCCCAAGATGTCTCTGTCAAAAAGGAGAAAAGTGGACACAGAGTGCAGATTGTTCCAAGAAAAATGGACATCCCCCTATTTTTTCATGGAAGTGAACAGAAAAGCTGTGTGTTTGGTGTGTTCACAGCATGTTGCAGTGCTGAAAGAATATAATCTTCGTCGCCATTATGCGTCTTCATGACGAAAAATATGACAAATTTGAAGGACAGCGGAGAAGAGAGAAGGTGAATGAACTGTTGGCCGGACTGAAGAAACAGCAGTCTGCGTTACTCACAGCCGAGATATCAGTGATGCTGCAGTAAAAGCTAGCTACGTACCTGATTGCTAACGAAATTGCAGTGACTTCAAAACCGCTTGGTGAGGGGGAATTTGTAAAAACGTGCATGATGAAGGCAGCGAAGATTGTGTGCCCTGAAAAGCGCCAAGCTTTTGCAAATATCAGCCTGACCAGAAACACAATGTCAGACAGGATTTCTGATATTTCAGTGGATTTGGACTGCCAATTGAAGGAAAAAGTAAAGTCCTTTATTGCTTTTTCAGTTGCTATTGATGAAAGCACGGACATTACAGATGTAGCTCAACTGGCGATTTTCATCTGCGGAGTTGATGACACGTTGACTGTCATCGAGGAGTTTGTTGAGCTCGTGCCCATGACGGATACAACAACAGCAGCTGATATTTTCACCGCACTCGTTGGAGCACTGGACAGGGTCGGAGTGCAATGGTCCCGCGTTGTAAGCCTTGCTACAGATGGTGCGCCCTCAATGACTGGGAGAAAAGCAGGTTTTAATTTACTGGTCTGTCCCACTTGGAACTAGATTTTCCTCAATGTGGCCCCCTGAGCTAAAATGAGTTTGACACCCCTGCTCTAAAAGCTAATGAAGGCTGAGGAGACATTTCAGCAATTAGCTTAAGGTGTTAAAAAGACGAACACACAGCAAGGAGATGAGCCACAGAGAATTAATAACAGACACTAGACTAGAGGGTGTTAAAACTAAGCAAAACTGACAAGTGTGCCTTCAATGAGCTGTAACTAATAAAAGCTACAGATTTACATTCATGTTTGTGGGTTTGGCAGACACTTTCATCTAAAGTGACTAACACAGTGAGGAGGAACTAAGGTGGGTTGTGTCTTGCCCAAAGACACAACAGCAGAATGACTAGGAATGACCTGGGATCAAACCCCAACCTACATTTGTCTTCTTGTAATCTACCACTGTAAAATCTTGTTTTTTCCAATTCCGCCATCTGTACAAATTAAGAGCCATTATATCTAGGAAAAATTTGGAATCAGTTGTTCATGCCTTCATCACATCTAGGCTCGACTACTCGAATGCAATTTTGCTGGGTGTCAATAAGTCAACCCTTGCCCGACTTCAACTCGTTCAAAATGCAGCTGCTAGATTTCCAACGCGTACTGACAGGCGCCAGCATATAACACCAGTTCTCAAATCCCTCCTTGGTCTTGCCCCAGTGTACTTATCTGATCTTCTTTCAATTTATACTCCTGGTCGCACACTCAGGTCCTCCAGCCTGTTGCTCCTCGAGGTCCCGAAAGCGTGTTACAAATCATGCGGACAAAGATCTTTCTCTGTCGCGGGTCCTAAACTGTGGAACGAACTTCCAGTCACAGTTCGACTGGCATCCACCTTGGCAGATTTAAGTCTAAAGACACACTATTTTACCCTTGCTTTTAATAGTTAGCTGTTAGTTTGGTTTTTACTACTCTTATTTTATCATCCATTGTAAGGTTTTTATTGGTACTTTTTTATCGGCTTGTCTATTTTATTGTTGGTTGTATTTGTAAGGTTATGAAGTTCATTATTTTCAGCTCCACACAGCTGCCCCCTGTGCACAATAACACCGTGTAGAAAAACCAAGGTCGGATGTTCCTCAGACTGTTTACATTCCAGGAGAAGAGTCCGAAAGAGAAGAAGAAGCTTTACTTAATCAAAGTACTTTATTTGTGATTAAAATTATTAAGCAAAACAGATGTTGATCAATAATAATCAAGTGAATGATCTGTGAAATAAATATGTCATGAGTTATGTTTAATGAAAACAGGACTACGGCACAGACATACTGATCCTCATCTCCATAGAAACGCATGACACATTGTTCCAACCAATCAGAGCTTTCGGCTGCCGCAGGAGAATCTGGTGTTGACTTCAAGTGTCCAATCCACTTTACTCCAACTTATCAACAATTCAGAGATATAAAACAAGGCAATGCCATTTTAAGTCAGTTCCATTTTGACTTCAGTTCTATTCACCATCATCCTAAAGAAAAGCGCAGCCTGGCCAGATGTGTTTTCTTCTTTAAACTAAGAACTGTGAAGCGGGAGATTTTCGTCGTTTAACAACCAGACGACGTCCTTTCAAAATAAGAGCACCTGCTGACGCCGACGAACGGTACCGGGGTCGACCCTCCAGACGGGCTTTGAAACGTTGTGATCGCTGCACCGACAGCTCCATCGTACATCCGAGGTCTCCAGACCTGGCATTTCCTGATCTACCTGGGAGACCCCCACTGGGTACGTACACGGCAAAATAGCGGCTCATGTCATCACTTTATAAGCCTCGTGATATCTAGTCATAACAAAGACGACCAGATTCTTTGACGTCAGCCTAGAGAATCTGAACCAGACACACACACACACACACACACACACACACACACACACACACACGCACCAACACAACATCCGAATCCATTCTCATCCATCACAGAGTAGTCCTGGTAGATTGTTTAGAATTTATAATTCAGAAATTAAAGATTCTCAAACGATCCCATCTCTCTCTCTTTTCTTGTCTCAAAGTCAATACAGAGTGTTTAATTAAACTCCCTGATGATAAAAACAGCCTACTCTTCTGTTTATAAAAAGTGAACTACTAACAGTGTATTAAAATACAACTTTAGATAGTTACATCACTTCAATTCCGTTACATATTTCATAGTACTGTTTTATGTTTTCTATCTCTGTTATTGTGCGACAGTTCAGCACTTTGGTCAGCCGTATGGCTGTGTTTTTAAAGTGCTATATAAATAAAGGTGGTATGGTATGGTACCAGATTCAGTTTATGGTTCTACTGTTTGTTTACTAACGATTTGGCCCCTCGTATCTGTCTGAGCTGCTCATCCCATACGTGCCCCCTGACCAAGTACTCCTGTAAGACCAGAGGGGAAGTGAGCTTTCTCATTTGCCGTCCCAAAACTTTGGATGAACTTCCACTTCATGTGAGGCAGACCTCTTGTTAGCCCGGTTTAAAGCAGCCCTGAAATCACATAATTTTAGTCAAGCTTTTGGACATTTATTATTTTAATTGATTTGCCGTGTCAATTTTGTGATTTGTATTTTATTTTTATGCGTTCTGTTCTTATTGTTCAGCACTTGGTCAGCTGCCGTGCTGTTTTAAATGTGCTATAGAAATAAAACTGGGCTTGTTGAAACCAGTGATCCTCCGATTACTGGACGACCTGTTCCACCTCCTCGCTGCCGCCCCAACAGCAGTTTTGTTTTCAGTTTTTTTTTTTTTTTGTAGAAATGCACAGATTTAGAGGGCAGGTCATGATTTCTGACTTGTTCAGCTTTGACCTGCTGATAGATTAGAACTATAATTTACAGAATATTTAGTTTAAATTCGATTAACTAGAAAGTCCTGATGCTGGATTGAAAAACTTTCAGGAATGAACATCTCTCGGCACTCAGCTCTGGTGTGACAGCTGGTTTAAATGGAACAGCGTTTGCTTCAAATGGGAATTTTTTTAAGCTACGAGTTAATTTAAATGGATGAAATTTAACCTGGAATGGCTCGTGCTCTATATAGCCATCAGCTCAAATCCTTGTGAACGCCTTCAAAAAGATAGAATTTCCACTCTCTTAGTTCTGTAATTTTTACCTTTTAGTCGATCAGGACTGGCCAGGATGTTGTCTTCTGTAGTTTGGTTGTTTTGCAGGTGGGAGTCCATAACTTCTGCAATCATGAATACAAAGTAGAGATGTGTTTTTATGTTTTAACCAACAATTTTACACAAGTTTCTTGTATTCACACAAGATATTTCTACCTAAATAATTATGGTTTATTAAAACGCTCACCATCAAAGTTGGCCAGTTTGTGTATTGAAGAGCTCACAGTCTCCTTCAGCTGCTTTACAGCTGCAAAGACACAAAAATCAGAGTATAAAAATTATCCCATTAAATATACTTTGCTATTTTTTCATGATTTCATGCAGAAATGTTGAAGGTTAGTATCAGGATAAAATAAATCAGCAATTATCACTGTGATGTCAATAAATGACAAAAACAACCAAAAAAACCTGCGGTGAGTTTATGAAATGATTAATTAGCTCTTGTGGATCGACAACTGATGAAATCAACAATGAGATTAACACCTGCAGGTAGACCAGATTAGAGATTATAAATGAGCAAAACATCAAAGTCTAAAATGCAGCAATACTATTTTTAATTGTCTAACTGATGTCATTTTTGCCCATCTTCTCCTAAACGCTCAGTTCACAGATTCATATTTACACTAAAACACAAATGACACCAATTGGTAAATATTGGAGCTCAGTAAAGTGGTGACAAGGCGAGAGGCCCAGACTTCCCTCTCCCCAGCCACTTGGGCCAGCTCCTCTGGGGGAATCCCAAGGTATTCCCTGGCCAGGTGAGAGACATAGTCGCTCCCCCGTGTCCTGGGTCTACCTTTAGGTCTCCTCCCGGTTGGACGTGCCCAGTAAACCTCACCAGGGAGGCGTCCAGGAGGCATCCTGACCAGATGCCCGAGCCACCTCACCTGGCTCCTCTCGATGTGGAGGAGCAACGGGTCTACTCCGAGCCCCTCCCGAATGACAGAGCTTCTCACCCCATCTCGAAGGTGAGCCCAGCCACTCTGCGGAGAAAACTCATTTCAGCCGCTTGTATCCACGATCTCGTTCTTTCGGTCACTACCCAAAGCTCATGACCATAGGTGAGGGTAGGAACGTAGATCGACCGGTAAATCGAGAGCTTTGCCTTCTGACTCAGCTCTCTTTTCACCACAACAGACCGGTACAACGCCCGCATCACTGCAGATACAGCACCAATCCGCCTATCGATCTCACGCTCCAGTTTTCCCTCACTCGTGAATAAGACCCCGAGATACTTAAAATCCTCCACTTGGGGCAGGACCTCATCCCTGACCTGGAGAAGGCATTCTACCCTTTTCTGAACCAAGACCATGGTCTCAGATTTAGAGGAGCTGATTCTCATCCCAGCTGCTTCACACTTGGCTGCGAACCGCTCCAGCGAAAGCTGAAGATCATGTTCTGATGAAGCCAACAAGACCACATCATCTGCAAAAAGCAGAGAACTGATCCTCAGGCCACCAAAACGGATGCCCTCCACACATTGGCTGCGCCTAGAAATCCTGTCCATTAAGGTTATGAACAGAATCAGTGACAAAGGACAGCCTTGGCAGAGTCCAACTCTCTCTGGGAACGAGCCCAACTTACTCCCGGCAATGCGGACCAAGCTTTGACACCGGTCATACAGGGACCTAACAGCCCGTATCAGAGGGCCTGGTACCCCATACTCCCAGAGTACCCCCCACAGGGCCCCCCAAGGGACGCAGTCAAACGCCTTCTCAAAATCCACAAAACACATGTAGACTGGTTGGGCAAATTCCCATGCACCCTCCAGGATCCCCTAAGGGTATAGAGCTGGTCCAGTGTTCCACGGCCAGGACGAAAACCACATTGCTCCTCCTTAATCTGAGGTTCAACAATCCGATGGACCCTCCTCTCCAGAACCCCTGAATAGACCTTACCAGGAAGACTCAGGAGTGTGATCCCCCTGTAGTTGGAACACACCCTGCAGTCCTCCTTTTTAAATAAGGGAACCACCACCCCGGTCTGCCAGTCCAGTGGGACTGCCCCCGATGTCCACGAGATATTGCAGAGCCGCGTCAGCCAACACAGCCCCACAACATCCAGAGCCTTAAGGAACTCCAGGCGGATCTCATCCACCCTTGGAGCCTTGCCACAGAGGAGCTTTTTATCTACCTCAGTGACCTCAGCACCAGAGATTTGAGAGGCCAACCCAAAGTCCCCAGACTCTGCTTCCTCACTGGAAGACGCTTCTGTGGGATTGAGGAGATCTTCGAAGTATTCTGCACACTGATCCACAACGTCCTGAGTAGAGGTCAGCAGCACACCGTCCCTACTACAGATAGTGTTGGTAGTGCACTGCTTTCCCCGCCTGAGGCGCTGGATGGTGGACCAGAATCTCCTCGAAGCCATACGGAAGTCTTGCTCCATGGTCTCACCAAACTCCTCCCATGCCCAGGTTTTTGCCTTGGTGACCACCCGAGCCACGTTCCGCTCGGACTGCCGGTACCCGTCAGCTGCCTCTGGAGTCCCACAGACCAAAAGAACTGATAGGACTCTTTCTTCAGCTTGACAGCATCCCTAACCACTGGTGTCCACCAGCGGGTTCGGGGGTTGCCACCACAAAAGGCACTGACGATCCTGCGACCACAGCTCTGGTCGGCCGCCTCAACAACGGAGGCACGGAACAGGGTCCATTCAGACTCAATGTCCCCCACCACCCCCGGAACATTTTGGAAGTTCTGTTGGAGGTGAGAATTGAAGCTCCTTCTGACAGGAGACTCTGCCAGATGTTCCCAGCAGACCCTCACGATACGTTTGGGACTGCCTGGTCTGACCAGCATCCTCCCCACCATCTGAGCCAACTCACCACCAGGTAGTGGTCAGTTGACAGCTCTGCCCCCTCTTCACCCGAGTATCCAAGACATGCGGCCGCAGGTCAGATGAAACAACAACAAAGTCGATCATCGAGCATTCGTTTTGCAGAACTAATCCAGCAAAAATCTATAAAAGGTTATAATATAGAGAAAAATTATGCTGCGCTAAAAATCTATTAAACACTCAACGGATTCTTGAACACTAGTAAGACATCAGCCAGAAATCTGGCTTATCGATTTCTTTGTTTTCTTCGGAAGAATAAAGTTGGTGATTGAACGTCCAATCCTTCCACAACAGGTCATTTAGGGTCAACAATCTCCAATAAAACAGACATGAATGTGAACAAATCGTTCAGGCTTTTGTCCGACTGTGTAAATCCACGTTAAAACCATCAAAGCACCCCTGCAGTATTACCCTCCCTAAAACAGGTTGCACCTGTATGTAAACAACAATAAAAGGTGTCGTACTGCTAAATTTGCTGTTTTTTAAAAACGTGTGTGTCTTAGCATCCAGAAACTTTAAATACATTCTCTTTGTCCAGCAATTTGTTGTATGAAACTATAACTATTTTCATATATATTAACTATCTGCACCCAAACATTACAAAGAAAGTTTCCTCTCCAATAAATAAAAAAACAATTCTTAAGTTTTAATAAAGAAACACGATACTGGCCCTTAGACCAACTCTCTTCCTTGTTGACTTCTGTTTTGGTGCTCTTCCTGACAGCAACGAGCCTCCGTAGAGCAGCAGGTAGAAGATAAAGAGTGTGTATCTGTAAACATCTGAAGGGCATGTTTGTACTCACGCGGACACTCAATCAACTGTGGGGTTCTAGGTGAGTCTCCTCCACTGTTGTTGACATGACAGTTGTCTGACAGAGACACAGAGGACCACAACCATCAGACTGGAGCCGGGCAGAACTTAGACCTTACCGACTCTGCTCATCAGTACCAGATAGAGCTGGACCTCAGACACAAACGTGATCTTTGTTTGAAGCAGGGCTTCTTAATCTCATTATTATTTGTATGATAGTATAAAAATGTTAAATCAGAAAACAAATTAGTTGAATGCTGATCTTTTACATTCATACATACGTTTGTATAAAGACTAGGGGTGTAACGATACATGTATCATATTCAGAGTTCAGTAAGGGACAGAGTGTACCAGGTTCCCCCACAGACATGTAACATTAATTTTACCCAACAACACATGCAGCTGTGTCCCAATTCAGAGGCTGCATCCTTCGAAGGACCCGACCTACCCGGTCTAGGGAGGCTGGTGTCGGTACCAGACACCAGTCCTTCGTTTACTGAAAGTGAGCGACTGTGAAATTTGAAGGTCTAGCCTTCAGATTTATCCCTGCCCTAACATTGGCTTAAGTATCATCGCCTAGCAACCATGACAATGTTAAATAGAAGTTCATACTTAGCAGTGATGCAGGCTGCCTCTGTCCCCATTAGGTCTGGAGGCAAAATAAATAAAGTATTTTGAATTGAATTGAACTGCAACTACCAACAGATCTGTCCTTTCAGCAGACAATGTGGACAAATTCATATTTTTATCAAACATGTGATGGTTGAATGAACCTGATCAAGGCTACAAGCTGGAACTCCTGATGCTGCATTAAGAAAATATAGAAAGTTAATTTCCTAAACTTTTCAAAAATTCTGCCTGATGTTTCTGTTACAGCTGAGAAAATCGAACCGTGACATTGAAACCGAGGTATGTACCAAACCGGGATTACCCCTTCTTTCCACCGGAGCCGTCAGCAGCAAGTTACTGCAGCAGCACGTCTTGCTCGCGTAAGCTGCTGCTTGGCCCTTCCCACGAGACGCGAAGCAGCAGGGGAGCAGCTGTCACCGACAGAGCACGAAGTCACATGAGTGACTTCGTCAGTAAACACAACAACAAGCAGGAGAAAATTACAACATGGTTTGTGTTTTATGTTCTGTCCGTTTTATAATCGCCAAAACGGACCTGAAACACAAAGGAGACCGCTAGCTAGGTGATAACTTCTCACGGGGCCGCACAGCTAGTAACTTTTTTTTAAAGTAAAGTAACCGGAAGGCAGTACGTTTCTTTATTCTGAAAATCTCGAGAGCTTCGCTCCGTTTCCGCATCCGATTTCCTGTCTTTCCTTCCCCAAAAATGTCGAACTTGACCCGTTTCAGAGGTGTCGCGCGTAGAAAATAGAACCAGCGCGTAAGGGCCGTGACATGCTGCTCCTGAGACGCGGCCGACTCGCGCTGCTGACGGCTCCGGTGGAAAGAAGGGTTTACAGGCGTGCCGTTACACCCCTAGTGAAGCTCTCAACATTGTAATTTCCTGGACTGAAGAAGCAGAATCATAATAGAAAGATTGAAGCATAAATCCCAAACAGTAATGTTTTATGAGTAATGCCACAGTGAGGACAATGAGACAGATAAAAGCAATTAAAGCATGGCAGTGCTGACGAATTATAGACAGACAAAAACTAGATGGACAGACAGGCGCTGGCCAGACAGATGGGGAAGAAATCAAAGATAAAAAAGCAACAACTTGTTTCCGAGAGTAAAACACGGTGGTTCTGGTACCAGAACTCCTGCCAGAACAACAAACAACTGCAGACTAGCCAACCGTTTTACACTGAGATGTCTTTTGTGAGCGTGAACACTGAAACTAATTCTCAACACCCAAACATTATTTGCTTCACAACTGAAACAAAGAAAAGCATGAAGGGATTATTATTATTAATCACGTTTCTTCTGGACAGAGAACTCAAACAGGCAGCCTAATAAGCAAACCCGTTTCTTATATTTACATTTCTACTAAATTCCTCTGGAACCAAACTTTGTTCCACCTTTTAAACATGTTTGTTTTTGAATCAAATACATCACTGGTGATTAACATGAACTCTTATCTAGTTTTCTACATTTGTTTTAAACATAAATCAAATTAACAAACAATCCCTAGAAAGAACTCAAATATAACATTGATTCCTTCTTTATTTGAAAGCATAAAGGGCTTATTGTCTTTCATTCTGAAGACAAAAACGTGCTTGATATTTTATTCTGTTATGACAATTAAACTAACTACCATCAGTATCTGAATCCCGCTCATCTTCGTCTTGGCTCTCAGCCGTCTCCAGGTTCAGTTTGTCTTCGACAGGTTCCTCTACGGGTCCACGGGAGACCGTGTCGACATCTGTCATGTGACCAGATCAGACACACACCATTTTGTCGGAGGCTCTACCAGCTACACACATGCACAGCACAAAGTCTAAATGATGGAGGGCTCCTGAGAAATGTGGCTGCTGTGGCAAAGTGAGCAGTGAACAGTCACCTAAAAGGATGGCGTCGACATTCAATCACCAGGAGTCAATCAGTGACCAAAAGCTTCTTTAATTTCCCCAAGAAGAATAAACAAAAGCAGTGGACAGTTTGAAAACTGTGGAAACAACCCAGACTATCAAACAAGCCCATTAAGAGTGGACAACACGTCCCCACGGACAACCCTTCTCAGACTGAAACACACCCAGTGGCTAAAATAAATGACTGTGTTGTTTTAGAAACGCAAAACATTCCCAGAGACTTCGAAAATCCAGTTAGATTGATTTTAGCGACATGGTCACACTCACAGCTACGTTTTAAACCCACTTAGTGGGAGAAAAAGAACAATTTGTCTTTTTTTCTAATAAACATTCATGTGGACGATGACTCTGGCCTCTTACAAAGCTTTGTGTTTTTGACTGGTTTTTATTTAATGTCTAGTTTCTATATTTAATTGTTCTGAAGCCTGATATAATAAAATATTCTAATGTGAAGAGGAAACATTACTCTAAAACAAAAAACAGTTCTTTAGATCTTTAATTAAAAACATAAAATGGGGGGAGTTTGTGTCTCTCCAAGCCTGTAAAACGGAGTCAACACACTTTCAGGTGTTTGTGGATTTATCTGTAATCTCTTTATGAATCATTTCTTGTCCTATTCCTGGAAGACAGGCTGAGTGTGAACATCCCACCACCTCCAAGATGAAAACAGAAGATGAACGACCAGAATCCCACCGTAGGAAACAAATGAACAAAGAAGAGCTGCAAGAACGGTGAGCAACAGGAAAAGGAATATCATGCAACAGGGTGGCATGCATCGTTAGTGCAGGATGAACGTGTGAAGTGAACGGCCACAGACACACAACCTTTGTCTCACAGCAGACTGGAGACACGTGGACTCACCAAGACTGTTGTTCTCTTTAATGCTTTTCTCTTGTAGCTGTTCTAACCGCACTGTAAACAACAGCAAAGTAGTAACTTACAGAAGTAGATCTGATGAGACACTGCTGATCCAGCTTCTGATCTACAAGTATTTGTCTTCATAGTGTCACATAGCACAGTGTTTCCTAACTGGTCCTCAAGGCACACTGTCCTGCATGTTTTCCATGTTGTCCTTTTTAAACATCAGTGTTTCCCTGCTGCCAGACACCTGACTTAAATGAATGAGGGATTAACAGGCATCTGCAGCACTTGATGTCCTCCTGAGGAGGCAATAAGGTGTGCGGAAGCACGGGAAACATGTAGGTCAGTGTGCCCTGAGGACCAGGGTTTGGAAACATCAACATGGAGGACATGATTCACTTTGAGGTTAATTATGGAAATTATGATAAAATATATGATTAAAGGTTGGATTAAAGAGGTTAGAAGTAAGGACAAAGTAAATCTGTCAGGGTAACTGTCTGATGAACTAATTTGTACCTTGGAGGGCCGCGAGTCTCTCGTTTGTAAAGTCGTTGTCAGCCTGCAGAGCCTCAATACGAGCCTGGAGAACCTGCTCCTTCTCCTCCATCTCTTCAATTCGCATCTCCATCTCCCTTTTCTCTGTTGCCCCCTGCTGAGTCAGCTCCTCCTGCCTGCCCTCGGCTGCCTGGAGAAGAAAAGGAGCAGCAAAAATCAGGAAGGGGAGACGAGTGTGAAGCAAACCAGAAATAAAACAAGCAGATGAAATAAAAAAGAAAAGAGTTGTTTTGAAAGATAAAAGAAAGAAAACATGAGGTAAGAAATAAAATAATACATTTTAGTTTTAAACACACAAACAAGGCTTTCAAAAGACGTTTCTATGCTGACTTAATTCTCGTTAATCCTGACCTGTTTGTTTAGGTACCTTAATTTTGTCAGTGAGCTCTTTGATCTCGTTGACAGCAGCGTTGTATTTGTTAGCCAGCTCCCTCAGCTCCTCCTGGCCCCTCTCTGACATCTCCTTCAGGTGGGTACACTCATCCTCGGTGTTACTGAGAGCGCGCTGCAGAACGTAACAATTTTTTTTTATGAACAAACAGCAGCTGTGGTTCAGTGACACAACCATGTGGTTCAACCTATGAATCCTCCACAGCATCAGTGGGTGAGACAGAGACATCACGCTGCCTCTAATTAGCTCAAATTGTCTTTGTGGGGAATGAAAAGTGCTGCACCTCTACATGAGTGCAAATATGGGCATTAAACTAGGTTGTAAAGCAGTCTGCAGAGGCTAGATGACGTTAAAGGTTGTGTTCAAACTGCCGGTCTTAGAACTCAAGTCTGATTTTATGCTGAAATGCATTTATCTGTTTGTTCCCATTGTAACTAAAACAAAACAGCAATTAGACTTGTGTTATCAGTCTACAGCACTGAAGAGACCCCAGGTACACAAGATGTGATGTCACACGTGACTAGCTCTGTTCATGCGTGCGAATATGAATGCTGCACATGTTGGTGTGTTTATCAGTTGTGCTATCAGAGCTGACAGAATCATGACTACGTGGTGAACAGAACCGTGTTTGTTTATTGTTTACATTTCTGATTTTTGCCTCCTCTGGTGAAGATTTGAGTCGCCAGCCAAAGATCAGGGATGTGAAAGGTGGATGTAACGTGACATGAACGTTAAGACTGAGATATGTACCTGATTAAGGATCTGATGTGAAAGCGGCTTAGATTTGAAAAAGTCAGATTTGTGACACTTTTATTTGCTGTGTGAATGTGGCTATTAACCCACCTCAACCTCTGACAACTTCCTGACCACCTCAATCTTCTCCTGCAGGACTCTCCTCAGAGACTCCTTTGCTGTTGTCTCATAGTTGTGTTTGTCCTCCTGAAGAGCCAAGAGCTCCTTACGGATCCCTTCTTCCGTCTGGGACTGTGAGAGAAAACCACACATCAATACTGAATGGTAACATGCTGATTTGAGTGAGCTAAATGTTTGACTGTGTTCACCCATCACCTTAGAGTACGCCTGTAACTGACTGCCCATCACTTCCAGTCTGGAGAGGAGGCGGTCCTCATCGATCAGAGCCTGGATGAGACAAACTAGTTACTGTGGTTGAAAACTTCTCATTTAATGAACTTGAACTCCAGACAGAAAAAGCATTTATTTTAAAGACAGCAGAGAACAGGTCTACTGAGGATAAACCCTTACACTTGGTATCTGTTTTGTCTGTAGGATGTAGGTGAAGAAGGAAGGTGACCGTTTCCTACCTGCCAGCTGCTCTCCGAGGCCTCCTGTGTGGTGCTTAGCAGGCGCTGCAGAGTGGCCAACTTCTGCTCCAACATCTGTTCTCTGTGTAAGGCCTCCTGCAGAAACGAGACAGCCAAGAAGAAGGAGTTCAATACCACAGAGAGATAAATAACATTCATCGGTCTCGATGTAGATCCACAGACCAACCAGCAGATGTCAGTGAAGTACCTGTAAATACTGGGAGAGCTGGAACAGTTCCTGAGAGTACATACTGGGAGTGTTGGCTGCAACCTAGATAACAAAAAGCAATAACAGCTCATCAATAGTTTGTTTGAACTGAAAGGTAGAGGTGCAAGCTGTTTACAGGCAATCAAATAAAACAGAAATAAGAAAAGAAATGTTTTCAACCAGGTGCTGGTGGGGTTCTGGAGCCAGTCTGATACTGGTTTAACTTCAGAGCAGAGTCAAAGCAGGAATACTCTTCCAGTCAAATTTTTGAACTTCCTTTAGGAAAATTCTGATTTTCTGTGTAAGATCAAGTGTCAGTTGGGTCAATGAAAAAAAAAAATAACACGATGGTCACAGAAATAACTTGAATCTGACAAAGGTAATAACTAATAAAAATTTTATGAAATGTAACCGTTTCATTGCTTCATTGCTTTTCAACCATGCTTCAACAGAATTATAAAAAAACAAACACATGGAACAGGCCTGAACACATATGATGTTACCCTGGAAAAGACTGAGAATTATGTGACAAAAGTGACATGTTAATTCAAGGGGTGTCCGCTAATTAGCGTCATGGGTGTCTACAATCTTGTAATCAGTCAGTAGACCTACACATATAGGGCTCCAGGTAGTCACTGTGATGTCTGGTGACATGGTGTGTACCACGCACAACATGGATCAGAGGAAGCGAAAGAAGGAGTTGTCTTAGCAGATTAGAAAGAAAATTATAGACAAGCATGTTAAAGGTAAAGGCTATAAAACCATCTCCAAGCAGCTAGATGTTCCCGTGACTACAGTTGCACATATTATTCAGAAATTTAAGATCATTGGGACTGTAGCCAACCTCCCTGGACTTGGCTGCAGGAGGACAATTGATGACTAGTGAAAGAGACAGATAGTCTGAATGGTAACAAAAGAGACAGGAAAAACATCTGCAGAGATTCTAGGTGAACTTCAAGCTCAAGGAACATCAGTGTCAGATCGCATCACCTGTCAATGTCAGTGTCAAAGTGGACTATAAGGGATATGACCAAGGAGGACACCCGTTATTGAAAACAAATCATAAAAAAGCCAGACTGGAATATGCCAACCTGCATGTTGAAATGCCCCAAAGCTTCTGAGAGAATGTCCTATGGACAGATGAGACAAAAATGGAACTTTTGGCCAAGGCACATCAGCTCTATGTTCACAGATGGAAAAAATGAAGCATATCAAGAAAAGAACACTGCCCCTACTGTGAAGCATGGAGGAGGCTCTGTTATGTTCTGGGACTGCTTTGCTGCATCTGCAACAGGGTGTCTTGAATCTGTGCAGGGTACAATGAAATCTCAGGACTACCAAGAGATTCTAAAGAGAAATATGCTGGCCAGTGTCAGAAAGCTTAGTCTCAGTTGCAGGCCATGGGTCTTGCAACAGGACAATGACCCAAACCACACAGCTTAAGACACCCAAGAATGGTTAAGAGGAAAACATTGGACTATTCTAAAGTGGCCTTCTATGAGCCCGGACCTCAATTCTATTAAGCATCTGTGGAAGGAGCTGAAACATGCCATCTGGAAAAGGCTCCCTTGCTCATGATGAGTGGGCCAAAATACCTGCTGAGAGGTACAGAAGTCTCACTGACAGTTACAGGAATCATTTGATTGCAGTGATGTTAGTTGGGGTACCATCGTTTTTGTCCAGGCCTGTTCCATGAGTTTATTTAATAATTCCGTTGAAGCATGGCTGAAAAGCATTGTGTGACTTTCACTGGTTCAATTTCATAGAATTTTTATTTATTATTTCTTTTGATTCAAGTTATTTCTGTGAACATTGTGTGTTTGCCTTTCATTGACTGAAGGGCACCAACTATTTGGCCCATGTCTAGCAAAAGGATTCCTCATTTCATTGTACATCTAAAGTTTGACAGCCTGCCGATGGGAATGATCCTTCCAAACCAAGAAGACTTTTCCGATATTGACGAAAATTAGTTTCAATGTGTGATGTCTAACTGCCGTCTAGTGGAATAAAACAAGGTTTATTTAACACAGTAAAATGAAAACAGCGACTGTTTGCAGCTGCGTTATCTCAGCTGAATGAGTGCTTCTCGTCTGAGACCAAGGAGCATCAACAAATGAGATGTGGTTCAAATGTGATCACAGTTCCTTTCAAACACATCAGCCTACATTTCTCAAACAGGCTACACTGAGGCTCTGCTGTTCTCGCTGTGGAGAGGAGGCAGAGGATACAAACATTGTACACTGTTGCACTACACACAATAAACTATTAAGCCTGCCACTGTTACATGTTTGAGAGGATGCACGACCGTGCTTTCGCTAGGAAAAAAAGAGCTCATAATCTTACATGAATTTTTCTTGATAAAACTGTTACTCTGTAGAAAACAAGTACATTTGTTTGGAAACAACTTTTACAGGTTTTTCTGGTGATAATTCACTCATGAGTTCAACAACAAACACTAAATATGATAAATACCTCCCAAAAAATAGTAACATCACTTGAGTGGTATTTAAGACGTTCAACCCGCTGAGTTTA